GTATTATTAGCTCTCCAGGGCTTCCAGTAGAGCTTTTTCCCCAGCATGTTTTTTGCATGCAAGGACTCTATCATTCATCCTTGCTTGAGTGTCCCCATTCCTTCTTTAACTATACTCATTTAGTCACAGTTCTGTCAATTTTTGACAAAGTTTGTGAGCTCTATGCAGTGATAATCTATAATGCAGTGTTTCTGATTAGGTATGTATCGAACACTTTTTTCCACCCATCAACAGCTGCATCCTATCCCTGTGACCTTACATCTGAGGCATTAGGGATTTATTTCAAGGCAAATGGCAGAGTTCCTATGCAAGCCCTGTGCTCTACTATCTATTCATTTAAAATTTTTAGCACATCTTGCACCAACTATAATGGAGTTCTGAAAACACAAAGTTTCAAGAGCATTTTGAAACTGTAAAGTTTTGTTAGCACCTCTATCCTCCTTATCCTTATACTCGGAGTATAAGACGACCCCCCCCACTTTAACCACAGATTTTGCAGGTTAAAAAGTAGTCGTATACGCAGGAAAATAAGGTAATTTATTCTGCTGTCATGGTAAAATAAAGAATTTTAGGAGTTTCCTCCCTAATGGCCAAGTTTTCTTTTGACTGGACAAGAGCTTTTGTGCATTTTCTTGTCTTTTCCTCTTTTTTTTTAACATTTGGAAACTTTTAATGAAAATTTAATTTGCAAAAACAGATTTTGTACAAAATGAACATTTTTTGTGCAAAACCAGTTGTTTTATTCTCAGTGTTTTTGCTCAGATGGTTTTTTTTTGTGAAATGAACTTTTCATAAGAAATCCCTAAAATGTGAAAAATCTTGTGGCAATTGACTAATTTTTTGGCAGGTTTCATGATATGTCAACACATCCTGCCTCTTCAAGGATGAGAAAATTTGTGAGTATTCTTTACACCACTGTTAGTGGTTAGTAGTAAAACAAGGACCCAGCCTCAGGTTTTTGATTATCATCAAACTGTTTTGTTGTTGTTGTTTAATGTTGGAATGGAATATTGGTTAGTTGCCATGATGCTTTTAGTCATTTGCAGCTTAAAGTGGTTTCTCATTTATCACAGCTGAAATCAAAGTTGCCAGGTTCAGGAATAAAAATTTGACAAAACAATATATAGAAAACCCAAATGGTCTTATTGTATGGCCAGATAGTTCATGCAGAAATTGCTGTGGAAGGCTGTTGGAATGCATTTATCTTCTTTGCCTGCGATTCTAAACATGACATACTGGGAAGAATCCTCTTTTGTTCGACGTGACTGAAAACATTTGAATCAAGACACAGGATCAAAATACAGAAGTTGTAAGCACTGTCAGGTCACAAAACATAATCTTCAGGCAAATCCTGAAAAGAAGAAACTTTTATCCTGTCATTATTAATTGGTGTCTCAATCTACCAATAAACTAATCTCTCCAGTTTTTGTGTTTTTCTTCTTGCTTTTAGGTAACACATAACCAGGAGAATGTATTTGACTTACAGTGGCTAGAGCTACCGGATGTAGCCCCAGAAGAGCTAGAATCCCTGTCCAGAAGCATGGTTTTCCATCTTAAGAGGCTGATCGATGAGAGGGATGAGTGCACAGAAGTACGGTTAATATGATTTCTATAGTCTGTCTTTAATATAATACTGTTTATTCAATGTATCACATTGGACTTGTCATCTAAACTTTTGCCACATATAGATTTCCTTTACGTGTTGGCCAGAATGATGGATGGATAGACAATTCTTTTGTTTTATTTTTTATTATTATTATTAAACTTTATTGGCTAAAAAACAAACAATAAGACAAAACCAAAACAAATAAACATACATACAAACTTAAACAAAAAAGAAAAAAATCATACTAATAATAAAACAAGACAAAACAAAAACTGACGTAAAAATAAACTACTACATTAAATCGTTACAAAAATATTACATAAAACATATAACTATTAAAAAACACCTCCTGAACTTGACATACCTTGCAATTTAGCCCAATTTACTACTACTACTTATAAACATACTTTAAATTTCCCAAGTCATGCATTATATATTTATTAAGCCTCTATATCAATCATTTTCTCACTTATGCTTATCTCACCGTTTTTAGCATATTAAAGCAGTGCTCCTAGTATTTTACTTTAGGCTATCTTACATATGTTTTACTCTAAACCTATCGTATTGACTAAATCTCCAGTTTGTTTCCAGTATTCAACCAGTTCCTTCCAATCTCTCTTGAACGCCTCTTCATTATCACCTTTGATTAAACCGGTTAACTTATCCATCTCCATAATAGCTAACATTTTCAACATCCAATCTTGTGTAGATGGTATCTCCTTCGACTTCCACTTCGTGGCATATATTATTCTGGCTGCCGTTATAAGATTAAAAATTAGTTTTGGGATAAAATAATACAAAAGATGGGAGAAATATTAAAAATCAAGCTGAAAAGGGACCCTCAGATGTTTTTACTGGGTATTATCGAAGATCAAGAACTGGAAAGAAAGCATGGTATTCTTTTATTTTTATGCTTGTAACCCACTTTGATTCCCTTTAGAAATAGGCAGGATAGAAATAAATCATATTATTATTATTATTATTATTATTATTATTAGGAAGTAGTAACAAACTTACATTGACATTAAGCTGTGAGGCCATCTTGGCTAGGAGATACTGATAGATTAGTCCGAAAGAGTGACATTTCTAAACTCTGCATTAAAAACTTAAAGCCAGTTTCTTGGTTTCAGTTTGCTTCCCACTTCCATCTGAGCCATACAATTGAGGAGATCAAAATTTTGGACTATTTCAGATTCCATTTCAGATTGCAGCTGGAATTTAATATCTTTTGAAAGTATGCCCTAGGAAGCGTTCTCTATGATAAACTGGCATATCAGAGAGAAGAGGCATGCATTAAACTTCTCTGGCTTAATGCAGATGTGGAACATTTTGTGTGTTGGTATATGCAAAGATGTGACATCTACCAATAGCCTGAGATGGTACATACAATTCTATCAACTTATTCTTTGCAATCTGTAGGCTTCCTTGAAATTGCTTATTTCCCACCTCAACATGATCTCCATTCCCTTTCTGTGGTCAAGCATTTTCCCTCTTGACTTTAGCACCCTTTAAAGCTTTCCCTTTCTTTCTTACCAGAAAATTTCAAGGTAAGGGAGCGAAACAACAGGCTCATCTTGTAAATGTTTTCTGATGTTAAGAGCAAAGAGATACGTGAATGAGAATAAGTGCTTGTTTTCACTCTCTTCCATTTCTCCTCTTTTCTCTCCATTCTTTCTTTCTCTCTTGTATTTGTCCTCTTCTCCTTCTATAGTTCTGTTCCCACCAATTCCAGAACCTTTCCCCCACTTTAGGTTCACTTCTAATATTTAATCCCAGCAGAAAAAGAAACACTTGAGAAAGAGGGTTGTGGATAGGTGAACTGCAAGAGGTACCTTGAGCTTGTTGTCATTTCTGAATTACAGTGACCTTAAGGTGAAGCTGTTGTGGTGTTTTCTTGGCAAGATTTGTTCAGAGGGTATTTTCCATTGCCTTTTTTGAAGACTGAGAGAGTGTGACTTACCTAGGATCACTCAGTAGGGTTTCCATGACTGAGTGGGGAATTGAACCCTTGTCTCCCAAGCACCCAAACCACTATACCACACTGACTCTCACTAGTAGACTCTTCACCACCTACTAAATCCATATTTGGGATAACTTTGCATTTAAGGAGCCCAGTCTTTTGTAGATGCATCTTATTGCAGCACTGGTGTAAAAGATTAATACTCCTTTGGACTCCTAGGCTTCATGTTTAGGGAACATGAAGAACAGGGAGTATTTCCTGAAAGGACACCATAGGAATGGAATTTTGCTTCTGCATTCTTCCATGTGCAAGGATCATACTGAGAAAGAACAGAGTAGGCTGGTCAGCTGTGTCAGTATATTTATATATAAATATATAAAACCTGAAGTATATTCAGAACACAAAAGTTCTCATCTGAAAGCTATTGGTCCATGCTGTTTCTTAATCCATCACAAGATTTTTCCCCATATTGTTTTCATTAAAAGCTACAGTTTTCACTAATATAAATGACCTTACAAGGAAACATCTTACATTCTAGTAACTGAGCCAGAGTAATGGGGGGGAAATAGGCATGCACATTTCCAAAGATTTCAGATTTGAGATAAGACTCTTCAACCTAGGAGAAAGTCAAACAGCATTAAGAATGTATGGATTAACCATAGTTCTCAAATGCTGTAGAAAAGCTTCCCAACAAGCATTTCAAAATTTTACAAAACTCATGCATGGAAAATGTTACAATTTCAGAATGGGAATGTCTGGTCTTTCAAGGATCATTATTTCTGATAATAGCTTTTATTTGCAATACCACATTGCCTCCACACACCACATACTAACTAAGGCATAATTAGACACAGCTTTCTAAGCTTATCTTCACACAGTGATGATGTGACTGTTTTATGTGCACATATAATAAAAAGATATGTTTGATTATTGAGCATGCGATTTTAGAACTAGGTTCTATGCAACTTGCTGTTTAGTTTATTCTGCCCATGTTTGAAGTATTCCTAAATTCCTTCATAATTGGTTCCTGTGTACCTCTTCCTCCCATGTTAGTATGAGCATATAGGCAGAAGGATAGGGTTGCTTTCATGCTGGGTCTAAGTCCAAATACATTTCTTCCTTGAAAATAACCATTGATTTCAAAATACTAATCTTGATGAATGTGTTGCAAATGATGGGCTCTTTTAAAATGGAAATAACCATCCTTAAGTACATGCAATAGTAATAAAAACATATTTTTCCCTGTAGACTTGCTATCTCTATGTTCTCCTTAGCCCAAGTACTGAAGTTTAGACTTCAGTCTCCTTAAGGCAGAGACCTGCCTCTTTGTTGTAACTCTGTGGGGGGGAAAATCCCTCTGTGCATTTTGATAGTACTAAACATGCATCTTAAATGATCTACTGTATTAGATTGTTGGTCTATATTATATGGAGAGCCAGTGTATTGTAGTGGCTTGCACACTGGATTGTGACTCTGGAGTCCAGGGTTTGAATCCCTGCTCAGCCATGAAAATTCATTCTGTAACCTTCGGCAAGTCATACTCTCTCAGCCTCAGAGGAAGGCAAAGGCAAACCCCCTCTGAACAAATCTTGCCAGGAAAACCCACTTTAGGGTTGCTGTAAGTCAGAAACATATTGAAGACACACAACAACACCATATTATATGACTACACCCTATGTAATTTCATCATGTACTTGTGTCACTAAAATGCCCAGATCTTTACCAGACAGTAAGATTATAAAGCAATCTGAAATCTTTTAATAACTGGAGTCATGTGGGAAATGTGTTTTTCATTCATGACATTTTGCTTTTGATTTTTCTGTTGTTTGTTTTGTTGTTGTTTGTTTCCAGCTCATTGTTGATCTCACCCAGGAGAGAGATTATCTCCAATCCCAACAGCCGCCAAGTCCTCTAAAAGCATCAAGCCCAGCCTCTTCCCCAAACTCAGCCAGCCGCCTTTCCAATGAGGACAAACAGCATCTGTCCGTGGAGCTTGCAGACACAAAAGCTAAACTAAGGAGGATCAGGCAGGAGCTGTAAGTACTGACACTAAGCCACTCGGTCTGCCAGAGAACTGTTGCCTCTTAGTGTCCTCCAGTAATACAGGGCTGTTTGCAGAGTGTACTGTTTTTAACTTCAGGACATTGATTTGTATTGGCAGTCCTACATTTGGACATGTTGCAGAATAGGGCATTTTGTTTTTCCAGCCTTCCTTAAAAAAAACACCAAATGGAGCTTGATTTTGTGTGTCTCCTTCTCCCTTTTTCTTCCCCTTCCCATTTTTAAGGTTGTTTCTGGAGTCATTTTTTCAATGTGCATTATTAAAGTGTGTTTAAAGAAGCAGAGAGAAGACGTATACCTAGTAGTATGTGAATGACAGCTCTGGTATAAATTATCAAACCCTGGGTTTGAGACTGTGTGGAGCATTCTACCTGCACCCAAGGAATTGCAAATAGATCACCCATGCAGACCCCCTTGCTTAACATGGAAAGGTCCGAAAATGAATGATAGGGATAATTGGGGACAAACAAGGAGTGGGCCTGATTGTGCTTCGTTCTTGCCCTCAAGACACTGGTGGATGGAGTTTTCATTTCTCTATGTATCAGGACAGAAGCCCATATTTCACTTCATTGGAGCTGTTGTCAAAAGGAGCATCTCTGGGTTAAGTCATTATCCCCTCCTCCATACTATGTACAATAATGTTGCATACTCTGGGTTGTGATGTCATTATGTGCTTCCCCATTCCTGGTACCAGTAGCCCATAATTGCTCCTGTATTACAAAGATTAATATCTATACTCATTGCACAATTGTTTTCCTACATGCAATTTTTGCAATCAGTTGGGAAGATGTTGCACTCCCAGTCCACTGTATCTTAAGTTCCAAGCTCTGGAACTCTCTTCTAAGACTGGCCCTCTTCTGTTGTCTAGCTAGCAGGCAAAGAAATTTTCATTCATTTTGGCCTTTGGCAACAGATGGTTGCGGAGAAACAAACCCTTGACCAAGTGTGTTCTGTGTTTTCATTAATTTATTTCTTGACATGTTATAAATTGCAATTTCAATGTTGTTTTAGTATTTGAACCTGTTTTGTGTTTTAATTTTGTTCATATTTCCTTTGAGGTACTACGAGCCTCATTTTTGGGAGAAAGGTGGAATATAAATCCAGCAAATAAGTAACACAAATAATACAGCATCTGGTACCTTTTTTTTTTTTTTGGGCCATGCTGCTTTCTTTGATATTTTTCTGGTTTTTGATTTTCATATACCTTTTTCACCTCTCCTCATTTTCCAGTCACAGCTTCAATTGTTTTAATGTTACTTGCACTTCATTGTGTGACTGTTTTGTATACTTTCTGTTGTTCTTGATTGGCAGCAGATGATAGCTAGCTCAGTGCAGATTACGGGTATGCATTATAAAGAAGTAACTTGTAAAATTGTGGGACCCTACCTTTTATTAGCATGTAGTACTTGCTGATTGTGCTAAATTATCAACAGGAAGACTTGGAATTATGCAGCATTTCTCATTTAAGTGCACACATATATATATAATCTTGCTAGGATATTCATACTGCATTGATGTTTTCAGGAACTAACTTAATAGCTTTTCCAACTTTGAAACCTACAGTGAAGAAAAATCAGAGCACCTTGTTGACGCAAGACATGAAGTCGATCAGTTAGTCTTGGAACTGCAGAAAATAAAGCAGGAGGTAAGGGTATTTATAATGAAGGAAAACCATTAAATTATACTGGAAAAAGATATAATGTACCATTTTAGTACACTTTTATTGGGGTGTATCTGTGTCTACACATGTATGTATGTGTGTATGTGTACATTGTTGTTGTTGTTTGCCGTCAAGTTGACTTTGACTTATTGTAACCCTGTGAATGAGAGACCTCCAGGATCCTGGGTCATTAACTATCCTTCTCAGATCTTGTAAATTCCGGGCCTTCAATCCACCTTCCTCTTTTCCTGCTGCCTTTTGCTTTAGTCAGCATTATCATCTTTTCCAATGAGTCGCATTGTCTAACCAAACAACAGCCTCAGTATGTATGAGACAGAATGTATGTATGTGTGCATGCATGCATGTATATGTGAGTATTCAGTTTCATAGAAGCTCAAGTACTGCTTCACACAGTGCAAAAAATAAAATTTAAAAAAAATCAAAGCTTGGAAATTTTGTTCTTTTTGTGTGTGTGTGTGTGTGTGTGTGTCCTCCCAGTATCTCCCAGCTAACATGGTTAAAAGTTAACAAGTTACTTTTCCAAAAATTAACTATCACAAGATGTGGTGGTGAACATTAGCATAGATCACTTTAAAAGGGATTCCATAAATCTAGGTTCCTAAGAAGCAATATGTGAAGCATGATACTGGGTGGACCTTGTGGTATGATCCAGCGGGGCTGTAATTATGTTATTAAGGGCAGAATAAAATGGAATGAAAATGAAATATTGGCCAACCCTTTGACCCAGCTGCTTTGCCCCTTCCTTTCAGCAAGGGAGCAACCCTAAAATACCTTATTTTCCTGCATATAAGACTACTTTTTAACCTGCAAAATCTGTGGTTAAAGTGGGGGGGGTCGTCTTATACGCCGGGTATAAGGATAAGGAGGATAGAGGTGCTAAAACTCTATATTTTGACTGGAAAATGGGGGGTCGTCTTATACGCCGGGTTGTCTTATACGCCGGAAAATACTGTACTATAATTTCCCGTTTCATCCAAACCAGGAAATTATAGTTACTGAGATTGATACAAGCCTGGATAAGGTGCTGTAGTTTAATGTCATGGCTTGGTACAAAGCAGTTGGTCATAATTTCCTGGTTTGGAGGATATAAAACTCTGTGGGTCAGGGATGGGCATGTGAGACCCTCCTAATTTGTTTGACTGCAGCTCCTTCTCCTCTGCTTCCATCACTCCTACCTAGCGTAATCATTTGTGAGCTGTAATGAGAGTTAGATCACTAAACACTAGAATATTTTAATATGTCAGGAATCTGGAATGTACTGATTGCTAAACAATTATTGTGTAAATAGTTCACTGATATGTCAAGGCTTATTGGAAATTTTAGCGTTTTATGGGATTGCATGCTTATTCAATCTAACATCATTTTATGTTCATACTAGGCAGTTTTTACTAAAATACACCTATAACAGTTGTTTCTTATTTGTGTCATTTCATGCTACCAATGAGTGCCATTTATCAATAACACATTTTTTTAAGTCACTGTTCTGTTCTTATTTCTGAACAGAACATAAACCTCATGGCAGATGCCCGCTCTGCTCGAGCCTACAGAGATGAATTGGATTCCCTAAGAGAAAAAGCAAACAGAGTAGAGAGACTCGAGATGGAGCTGGTCCGGTGTAAGGAGAAACTGCATGATGTAGATTTCTACAAAGCACGCATGGAGGCAAGTCAAGGGACAGGATGGAATATCTGTAACGTTTTTGACTGTAGTAAAATATATTTCATGAAAATATATTCCCTGAATGCCCTTAAGTAGACGCATGCCCTTAAGTAGACGAACAGTGACTTTTTAAAACAGCCTAATAGTGTTGTATTGATAGCAAATGGGAGTACAGGCCATCTTGGTATATCCTTAAATGCTCATTATAAAAGCAGGATTCAGCCAACATGGTGTAGTGGTTTTGAGCACTGGATTGTGACTTTGGATACCAGGATTCGAATCCTGATTCAGTCCGGTAAACCCACCAGGTGACCTTGGCCAAGTCACACTCTCTCCGCCTCAGAGGATGATAATGGCAAACCCTCTCTGAAGAAACTTGCCAAGAAAACCCCATGATAAGACTTATGGTGACTTAAGGTCACCATAAGTCAGAAACAACTTAAAGGCACACATCGACAACATTGCTGCATTGCACCACAGCTTTAATTTCATTTAGATGATATTTAATAATTACTAAGTGATTTTGTTTGATTTTATATGATGACTACAATTGTATAAAATACAAATGATGAACAGCCTTTTCAGTTTTTGCATTGGAATCCAATGGCAGTCTCTCAATTCAATTTCAGATCTATTTATTGATTAGAGGTTTTTCCAATGATTTCTAGTTTAATCCCTGATTTCAAAGGAGACCTGTCCTGGGCCTAAAACAGCCCAGGGAGGAAATTGCCACCTTGAAGCGCAGGTGGGCTTTATTTAAAAATATGGAGTGGAGGAATTGCAGGGGTGCATGTGAGGCATATTTACTACCAGACATCAGGTAGTTGTCTGGACCTGCTCTGACTGAAATTTCCTCATATCAGAATGCCAGATGAGAACTAGCAATACTTCCCCAACCCTCAGTAGTACCTTTCCCTTGGAGAACAGATACTAGGGAAACCTGGCAGTGAATATCATTGCATGGGATTGGATTGTCTTCTCTGCAAGACTGTAAATCTAAATGCAACCCGTTATTGTCTATCTTTCTCCTTCATGGCAGTTCTAAGCATCCAGAAGGGCTGTGGAGGAGACAAGAGGACAACAGTTATTGCTTCAGCACAGGTTA